AGGGGCTCGTAAACCTTACTTTACAAAAATGACAAGTGTGTACAATCCGAAGCAGGCGATTGCCTTGGCATAGCGTCCAGACTATGGCTCTGTTAGCATGGTGATTCATCAGTGAGAGCTAACTTTCTACTCAAGTGTCACTTTAGTGCCACTTAAAATACAGCTTTAAATGTACACTTCTTCACCCCTTGGTGGGCACTTCGGTGCCACTCTAGTGCCGCTTAATTAAAATCCTATGATCATCAATTATATGAGTAGGTATTATCGGTATTTGGCAGAAAGGCTGATCGTGACACCGATTATTTCACTGTTTGTTTACGTTTCCATGAAGGCGTGGGAAATGCGGGGTGGGGAAGAGGAGAGGGGTACGTCCCTGTTTGTAGCTGCACGATTTTAGCTACAGCCGACAGTGCCCGAGCCAGCTTAAACTGAACTGTCTATAGACGAATTCATTACTTCCGCCAATGCTAGAATATCAACCAGAAGCCAACTGCGCTAAGAACTAAAGCGAAAACGAAAGATATCAATGCCTCTCCGAAGCTCTCGCCTTGTCCAAGCGCTCGGAGGGACAGGGGGCCGGGCATTGCCTACCCTCCAGGCGTTTTCAGCGACAATCATTGACCCACGCCTAGATTGACACGGCGTCACTTCTTAGCTTTAGAAAGGATTTATGAGCCTGGAGTCAAAAGGAGCCTAAACCCAAAGGCCCCGTCACGACAGACGCCTTAGATAGAAGCCGTGGCCTACCTCGCAGGCGTCCAAGCGACAACTCACGTCGCGGCGACAAGTGGTAGTACACACGTCCCTGTTTATGGACACAAAAATGTGGTCACAAATGGGGCAACATACGATGTCCGATGCCACTAGCCACACGCCCCTTTTGTAGTTAAACAGTTGTAGCTACAGTCGACATGACCGCATGCAGCTTCATCCAAACCAAAATTGTCGGCCCTAAGATCAACTCCCGGGCGGGGCAAATTGTTTCTTTGTCGCTTTTTGTCTCGCGTTAGGCATGACCGAGCTTAGACCTCGGCCCCGTAGAAGCAAGCTGGTAACCGAGCGTGTTAAAGCTTGATCGTTGGCAGATCGTGCGGGTGGTCTCTAGTTCGAAGCCCATCCGCGGTCATTTTTCCCTGCTTTTATGTCCAAGTGTCTTCGGGCGTCGGTCACAGCTTAGATCAAGATGCCGCTGATAGTAGTTCTCTGTACCGTTCCGCCGTGGCCAAGGCAGTAGCGTCCGAGCCCGGTATGAACCTGGTCACTGGTTCGAATCCCGGCCGGGTGATAATTTTCGCGCTCCGCTGGCCATGACTTTACAGCCGTGCGACACCTGATATGATGGGCCGGTACGCAAACAGTCGCTGGTTCGAATCTAGTCGACGGAACCTTTTTCCGTCTGCCAGCCATATGTTTCGGGGTGAGAGCCACAGCGGAGATAAACTTCACCTATGCAAAACCCTCATCATTGGCTCAGTTGGTAGAG